ACACTCGGCAGAGTGGCTTAACGAGTGGCTTTAACGCTGAAGCTGGTCAAGGTTCAGAAACCTTAAAAATGATACTAAGGCTATTTTCGAGAAATACACTCATCTACAAGTCAATTTGGTTTTCACGAGAGACCCAACTGAAACTCTCGTTTATGATATTCTACAACTAAATGTGCCGCACATACGCCGCCCCATGTTTCAGTTGGCACGATATTCCAGATATCGCAGTATACTTTCGTAAGGGAAACTACTCACAAGGTTGCTGAAAACTCTTCGACAGCCCACGACCGGTTTCGCCCTTCTTGGGGCTCATCAAGTAGGCGCAGTCTCCGAGTTTCTGTCAGCTTTATGTTCTATTTGAACCCAAATTGCACCGTTTTCGAGAAATACACTCATTTGCAAACCAATTTGGTTTTCACGAGAGACTCAACTGTCGAAGCGTTCAACCTACCTTGTAAGTAGTTTCCTTTATGAAAAAAGATAGTGAGGCTATTTCAGATTGAATTGATGGGAGACAGTGTCCACAGTCTTTGGCCTGCATGTGAAACTCTAGAGTTGTTGGCCATTAATAACAAGTGGTTTGATCCTACAAAAAACCTCGTCGGCGACATGGACTCATACGAGAAGTATACGCAGATATTTGCTTCACGATATGATTGTCCTGTTAAGAGACTGCAAAGACATTCTCCTTACCAAGCTGGTTCATAGTGCTAAATTCTGTACAGGGAACTTTTTGATGCGAGAAAAACTCTGCCCTCAGAGACAAATAAATTTTTATGAGGCCGGATCGCAGAAAATTGGGGGGAGGGACTTCAGTAAGTTCTATCCGAGAGATTTTAAGAACCAACCCCAAAAAATTCAGTAGGCGAACAGCGGATTGCAATAAAACACATCTGAGAAGCTGTCGTAGCATTCATTAGTTTGAAGGAAGGATTAATGATTGATGTGACAGAACAATAGGCAGGTCCTTATCGAATAATACGTACTTTATATATATATGTATATATATATATATTGTATTGATCGGGTTCTGACAAAATATTGCTTTCTGGGAGTCGTTCTGCAGCAGTCCTGTGACCACAGTCTATCTTGCATGCTCGTGTTGGGGAAGCGAGCAAATAATCAGACTTTCGCAGACGGCTCAATGAAATAAATTCCATATTTGGAGATATTAGAGACTCATCAGCAAAGCCATCGAATACTAACTGCCCAGAGCAGATAAGATGGATTTACCTGCGTTCGATTTCTGGAAGTCCACAACTTCTCTAATGAATCGGGTGAGGGAAGATCAAGATAATACCGGGACGGAATAAGGTACAGGCATTATTGGCCGTAGTACTAGTAGTAGTAGTGTTGGTACGAACACGGTTGCCCAATTGGCCTGCGCTGATTGTTCCCGCCTTTTTCCCACGAAGATTGGCCTGAGTCAACACCGCCGGCACGCACACCCCACCCAGCATAATGC